CCGTTTCTCCACTACCAGGTCCATTGCAAATGAATGGTTTGCAGAACACGGAAGACCTATTGGCATGCGAAGTGTTTACCGACGAATGAGAAGTTTTGGCTTGTTTTCATACCGGCCACACTGGGTCCTCCTTTTAACTCGAGAACACCGACGTAATCGCCTTGGGTGGTGCAGGCAACGGTCACACTGGGATCAGGAATGGAACAGTATTGTCTTTAGTGACGAGTTTCGATTTTGTTTAGGCATGCACGATGGTCGTGCCAGGGTTAGAAGGCGACGTGGTGAAAGGAGGAATCCACAGTTTTTTGTTGAAAGACATGTTCATCACACTATTGGAGTTATGGTTTGGGGTGCTATAGCTTATGGTTCCAGGTCACCTTTAATCTTCATCAGAGGTAACATGAACGCGCAGCGTTATATCCACGAAGTTCTAGAACCCCATCTTTTACCCTAACTTGACACCCTGGCAGATCCAACTTTCCAACAAGATAATGCCCGACCACATGTTGCAAGAGTCGCAATAGACTTCTTTCAACATAATGATGTCACATTGTTACCATGGCCACCAAGATCTCCCGACTTATCCCCAATTGAGCACGTGTGGGATATGATGGGTAGGAGATTGCTCAATTTGCAATGTCCTCCTCAGACTCTAGAAGCACTTCGAGATGAGTTGGTGGTTGCCTGGAATGAGATACCACAGGAGGACATTGACCACCTGATCAGAAGCATGCCTAGGCGCGTTGGAGAATGCGTAGCACATCAGGGTGCATCCACACATTATTAAAGGTCAAAGGGCTTTAAAGCAGTGCAATCATTTTTAAATTTTTATCATTTACTTATTATGCTTCATTAAGTACTTATACAAAATTTTATTAAAATAAAACCATTTAAACTGGGTGTTCGGATTTATATGTCACTTAGTATACTTCCATGTTCTCATGAGTCAATTTCCAGCCATTTTCTTCCATCCATATGGTAATTCTCTTGATTCTGTATGCCAAGGACACTTCAAGTGTATACCACTCTTTGCTAGTCACTATCATCCCAAGGTGGTCAGCATACCCTAACAAGCGAATTCCCGGCAGCATCTGTAACCGAAGTACCCCAACGTAGAACACGTTCCAAAAGATGGAGTCATGTGGCACTCCAATGGTTATCCTCATCGTCTGTTGCCCTACCATAGGTGCCCCCTCGTCAAAACAGCTCTTTATCATGTCCAGTATATAGCTAAGGGCATCTAGCTTTATTCTCGAGAGATTCGAGGATTTTCTGCCAATGTGCCATGTTAAAGGCATTCTTAACGTCAAAAGTAACATAACGCAAGCTTCTTGCTACTGTAGCTGCTCCTACCCGATACTTTCGCCAGCTGTGCCACTGCACTGAGTGCATCTATGACAGACTTTCCTTTTCTGAAACCATATTGCGAGGCAGTTAGCCCATTTTTTTCCTCGACGTGTTTTCTTAACCTACCTCAGTAGCTTTTCAAGTGAACTCAGCATACACGGGGGTGTATATTTGACTTCTCTATCGGTGGGTTTTTGAGGTTTAGGGATGAGTACCAAACCAGCCTCCTTCCACCTCTCTGAAAAGACTCCCGTTCTCAAACATTCATTCATCACAAACAGCATGATTTCGGGTATATCTCTAAACCTGCCTTACCTGCTTTCAAGTGCGTTGCAGCTTCTTCAAGCTAACTCATGGTGAACTCTGTTCACCATCATTTAGCTTGAGGTACGTCCAGAGTTTCCTCAAATTTAGATTCCGTGTGTGAGTACTTCGGAAACAATCCCTCTGCAATTTTCATTTGCTGTTTAGTATCCAAGTACGGTCTAGCTTTTTCATGGGTATTTTGTATGCTTGATCCCAAACGTCGTTTCCTAAGTCATTTAGTAAGTCTTTTCACATCCTCTGTTTAGAATTCACTATGAGCTTTTCTAGTACGTTTTTGGCACATTGATGTTGTCTTTTGTACTCAAGCATCGGAACGTTATTCCTTGTTCCTTTTGCTCTATAGTACTTTCTATTATTTCTTGTTATTCGACGTCTGATAGGCATTCTTTTATTTTTTTGTGCTATTTCATTATTCCGCCAATACTTTGCTTCCCTCATCATACCATTTTAATAGACCACGCGGAAGGTGTTGTCGCTGTTATGACAACATTCTCCACCAGTTGAACTTTGCCCTTGTAATCATCGAGCTTTGTGCACCATAGGGCTAACTGCAGGTTTCCGGGGAATACTTTCAATTTAGCTCCGTTTATCTTCCACCTGCGGATCTTATGTGTCTATGGTCTTTCATGTTTGATAGTTGTTACAGATGTATACGTTACAGATGGTTAGTTTTTCAGGAGCATCTATAGCAGTTGCGCTACTGTGATTTTTGAAAAATCCGTTTTCACCTTTTGATGAATTTGTTTTAAACTCGTGGAAGTGAGTTTCTTGTAGACAAATCGGGTGTACGGTCGGATATCAGCTTACGTAGCATGTTTAAGCGAGTAGCCATTTAGATTCTACTGTGATATAGATTTAAACGACATGATAACTGATTAATACATATTATATTGTATAGAAGATGCTTCGCTGTGGGTGTCGTTAGAATCGTCTTCAGTGTGCCGTTCCAGCTTTTTGCACAGCCTGGTCAACCTGTTTTCAAGGCTGGATATATCACGTGAGGCAGTATTTTTTCAATCTATCGTTTCATATCATCAGTGTATCCGCTTACTATTGACATAACATCCAGGGCTTCCTGCACATTTTCTAAGAGACTCTTCATTTGGTAGCAGTTTAAAACGTAAAGGTCTTGGTTTGTATCCATGAAATGCTTGGCGGTTTAATAGGCTTGATCTACAATACGTGATTGTCGGTCAATTTGGTTATTTTCATGCAAGTTTTCACGAAAGTTGGTCCAGGGATTGAAGTTGACGTAATTTTCGTATCTGATGCTGGAGTAACTGTTGTTGAAAAGCTTCTTCTCTCTGTGTTGCCGGTGTCTTTGAGTTTTTTGGTTTGGATTGGTATTGGCTGTGGAGTTGAATAGCTATTAGCTGACGATTAGGAGAATTTCCTGGTATAATTGACGATTGTATTTGCTGAGCTTTAGCTCCCTACGGTACATGCTGAGTGTTGCTCGGCATGTTGTTGGATTCTACTGAGGGCGACGGATGAATGGTATTATCAGGATTTGAGGTAAGTAATTGATTGGGATGTAGATTTGCAATTGTTTGTTGTTTGAACACTTGAAGCATTTTTGACTATCCAATGACAAAAATATGCGAAAAGTCTTAATGGCTAATTATTTACCAAAGGAGCTATGTATACTCGATGTCTAAAGCTAAAAGTATATGACTGTACTCAGGATCCGTGGCACCAATCTTAAGAAATGACATCTGAGATTTCATCTCAAGGCCTAACAGTTGTGAGCCATTTTGGATGACATCATGTGGAATAGTCGGGGATATATTTCATATCTCGTTGCCTTTGTAGTTTCATCATGAACGGTGATTTCTCCATGGTTGTTCAAAAATGTATCCACTCTTGGGATAAGTAAACACATACTCTGTTATTACTACTCTAGGACAAAATATGATATTTTTTTTGGCTCAACCAAAGGACCTATTTCGAGGATATATAATCTGGCTCCATCTGTTGTATTAAATATTATAGCTTGCTCTTTGTTTGGGTATTTTGGTATTTTGTCGGGTAAGCGCCCGGGGGTAATTCAATGATGGGTTGCTATTGCGGGTTGATGTAGGAATACTCGTATTAATGCCTTCCATAGCGGTCTCTATTGTCCTCCTGGCTCTAATCTTCCATGTACCATTTCAAGTACGGTCTTGTCCCTGGAATGTGAAGCGACGTGAAATTTCCGTAGAATTTCTCGAGCGACGGACGGATGGTCGTTTACGTACTGGTTTGTAGATATTTGACTAAGCAGGTATTCTATGTCGAACGAAATCAATATTGGAATTAACAGCGCGATGCTAGTCGTCGACATCTACGTCGGCATTGCCACAGAAAATTAGCTGAATTCACTATAAAGTCGTATAAATTTACGGAGCACCAATCAGCTGCTGAGGTATTACCAAGCCGGTACCGACTCCAAAAATATGTTTTGTGTATCAGAAAATATTTGAGGCAAATAAATACTTTTATTTATGATTAGATGCCCACATATGTTGGAATTACTCTTTTTGTTTTGTTTCACGTAGTGGCAACCCTTTATATTTGCTTTGAATTTGGTTCTGTCACAGTCCCAACTAGCATTTTGTTAAAATAGGCTACCACTCAAGAAAAAGTTACTTATATTTGTCAAAGCTTAGTAATTACATCCGTGGATGATGTCCTCAAAAGTTAAATTGCCTTCAGAGTTGAATCCTTTGTCAAAAATTGGTAACTACTTACCAAATTAGGGCCTTTGGCCAAGAGGTGAAATTTTTTGGTTCAAAACTATAAAAAACACACCTCTAAAAATTATTTAAAAAGTCTTGTCCTCGGAGATAAATCTAGAGGTTATCGCGTACCTAATATTAACCTGAAATATGTCCTCAATATTAGGTTCTTTTTTTGGGCGTATTGGTAAGTAAAAATTTATATCTGTATATATAAAAATAAACCCCTATTTCCCGTGATCAGGCTATGACTTGAGAACGACTTTACCGATTTCATTCATCTTTATAAAATGTTCTTACGGAAAGAAAAGTCAAGAAAATTGCACAGAAAATTGGGAAATCATTGAAAACCTAATAATTATTTGAGCTACGCACGTTAGACAGTAGGCCACACTAGTTTTTTTATGAAGATGTATTTGAAATGGTTTGTCAACGCACCTTAGATACATCATCTATATAACTCGATTGTATTTTTTGTAATTTGACTAGTGTACAAAAAATATACACGTGGCCTGGAAGAACATTTTTTTGTTATCCGCCGCGTATATAGGTTGGATACACTCTTCAGACTTGTCATTTCTTGTCCATAACAGCAGCGTTGATATAGTAATATATGTGAGTTCTGCTCTAAATGTCGCGTTGCGCGGTTCATTTATTCCTGACTGGTACACCAGAATAGAATTAGCTGAAAAATTACGAGGCAGGAAAACGCATCTAGTGGGAATACTACGAAAAAATCGTAGAGGTATTACGAAAGAAATACTATCCACTAAACTGAAGAAAGGTGAACCTGTAGGGAGAGATAAAAATGTCATCGTTATTTTCAAATGGAAAGATAAGCAAGATGTGCTTATGCTTACAACTAAGCATAAACTCAACTTCGTTGAAGTCTCAGGCAGAACTGAGGTCAAAAAGAAGCCGGAAGCTACTGTGGCTTATAATAATGCAAAAAGCTTTATCGATATATCGGACCAGTTGTCATCCTATTCTACCTCAGACGGAGTATCAAATGGTACAGGAAGGTGGCTGTTGAGTTACTTACTGGAACAAGAATAGTAGACGCCCATTACTCATATAATAAGAATAAAAATGCAACCAGAAAGAATAAGTGTAACAGAATTCAAAGAAAAATTATGACTGAAATTACTTTCAAAAGGTAAACAAAGTTTTGATCCCCATGACACACCCGCAGAACATAAATTTATTCAAGCAAGAAAAAAGTGGAAGCGTAGTTTGCTACCAACGAAATTAAGATAACCACGGACGACCTTATGCAAGTAAAACAAAACAAGTTACAACTAAATGCCAAGTCTGTGAACTAAAATTTCTTTGCTTAGAATGTTTTTTTGGTAACTTTGTGTTGCTGGTGTTGCATTTAACTTTTGGTCGATAATATAAATAATATCATGTAATACCCATTTTTGCTTTTGTTGAGAATGTTCGCTTCGAACGATTAAGAAGCTTGTCTTTATTTCATATTCTACCGTATTATTAGTTAAAATAAACACTTTTATATCAAAACTGACGGTTTATTGGCATTTAAGTTATGAAAGAATCTATTACTATTAGACTGTTAACCAAAGAATAGCGGAGTATTTTTCTTCGCAGGCCAGGATTATTTTTGATTCGGCGTATGCTACGCTAAGTTATATCCAATTAAGAATACATGTGAAAAGTACCCCTGTAGAATACACGCGGCCCAACGGTCTTCACTGACTGTGTATATTTATATATACACGTGGTGGTTTGAGCTCAGACATTGTGTATATTCAGGTATACACATGGTTGACTGCCATGTCAAAGTGTTAACCATCCGTACTTTGTGATGGCCCCTTCAAAAGAAACTGCAGTGTTGCCTAATTTTTAACTCTATGAATAAAAATGGTGGATGAAAATACGTTTCTTTTGTTTAATTGACTTTCACTACTCTATCATTTTGAACTTGACAGGTTGCACGCCAATGAAAAAATATTTTTTTATTTAATTGCACAGTCCATTCGAATACAGCTTTTATCCAGTTTTCAGTTTGTCCAGTGAGTTTTTTGAGAAGTATTTGTTCAAAAATAATTAACAAGGGTGGAAGTTGTCTGGGCGATCCGTAAGAACTTTGCCCATTAGTCACTGTCTAATGTACGTTAGTCGAATCTGTCAGTCCTGGTTGCCCAGAAACAAAGTCAAAGTCAAAGTCAAAGAAAAAGAGGAAGGGAAAGAGAAGAAAAAAGGAGAAGAGCAAAGAAAAACAGATGTGCTTTGTTTAAGAGGAAACACCTAGGCTTTTTGACTTGGTACACGCATTAATTTTGAGGTGAACTAAACAAATTTCTGATTCGGTTCTATTAGGGTGTAATTTTGAGTTTACTAACTTTTGATTACAGTGCGAGCCGTGGCCTTGAATGTTTACGAAGCAATCATGCCTTATATTAAAATTGTGTTTCTTCAAAATGCCACCAATTAGACGTACCAACCTAGGTCGCAGAACTCGCGCTGCAAGTCAAATATATATGTGAAGAAGTCAAACTGACGAGCAACGGGAAGTGAGAAATGAAGTTGAACGGGATCGAAGGACTGAAATTCAACAACGTAGAAGTGTCGCATTTAATCCCAATCAAGCTGCACTCAGTTATGACGAGGCAATCGATTACAGTTCACAACAATTGCTATTGGACCAGTGAACCTTGTGTGTCTACATTTCAAGGCTTTCAAGTTTAAAAATGATGCCCCTGGATTATGTTGCGCCAGTGGAAAAGACAAATTGATTTCATTGGTACCAGCACCAGAGCCACTAGGGACATTCATTGGTTTCCGGAAATGGGCCAGATTCTATATATTTTTTGACTCATATGCAGCAATACAATAATCGCTTTCAAATGACGTCATTTGGCGCAACAAAAGTCATTCGACATAATTTTATGCCTACTCAAGGTAAGTTGATGGGGGGAATAATAGTGCTACGAACGTATTTTGCTAGCCACATGGCGGTATGAACACTTCGCTATACAATTATCTATATTCCATATATTTACCCTTTCTTAATTCATTATTCATCCCAATTCATAGATAAGGCAGGACAACGTCTGTCGGGTCAGCTAGTGGCCAATAAAAGTTTCTATTGCTAAGATTGCAACATAGATTGGTTAAATAGTTAATAAGTATACTAAATAACCCTATTGTACACCTTAAGGTTACAAGGATTCTTTTAGTACATGTAGGTCTAGATTAACACTAGCTTTCAAGGAAAAATTTCTAGTTACTAAGTTGCAAGTAGAAGTGTCTTAACTGAAGCTGAAATCACTTGCAAATATGTCTTCATAGTTATTGCGCCTTTCATGCCAATTTGTTCGCCTCCTCTCCCTTACTGATGACTGTTTGGTTCTCGGTTCTTTTAATTTGCAGCGTGCTTGCCTATGCATGATAGTTTCTTCATTCATGTTTAAATCTAATTTAGAAGCCAGATTTAAACCGTCGGACTCCTAAGGTTTATAGGCATACCTCACAGTTTGATGATTTGAACTGAGCAGAACTTAATTTTGAAGTGTTTTTTCTTCTCTATGACACGTTTCAGAATTTATTCTTTTTTCTTTGGACCAAGCTGAATGCGAGATTTCGAATAACCACACAGTACAATAGCGTATAAGTCACAGAACTAACAAAAACAAACACCAAAGACGACTAATAAACGCATACTGGTACGTCCATATCTCTCTCTCCCTTAGTAGTCAGTAAATATAACCTATTTTAAACCGGTCATGTAAACTTTTTAACCTACTATATTTTGTACTCGAATTAACATAATAATTATAAATTAAAATGCTTATTGGGATGTGAATTTGATATTTGTTACTGGTTCGTCCCATTCGCTCCGGACAAATTTTGATTCTGGGATCAAATGGAAAAATAGGTTTTTGCAGCTGAACCAGGTGATCTAGACGAACTTCTTGATTGATTATTGGGATTAGAGGCCCGTCTTACAGAAATGATATAATGTTCCGCTAGCTTGAGATATTTTAGAGGAAATCGACTATAATATTTGCTATCTTTGATTTAACCCAGATATGCCCAAAGTTGTCATGACTCTGACTTCTTCATAGTTTTACATTTAAGGGGCATTATAAGTATACAAGAAGCCAACTAAAACTTCTGAAACTGCTTTTTTTGTCAAAAAAGTTGTTTTTGAAGGCGTCCTATATATAGGACAATGGGCACTTACTATGCTGCATTAAAATCATTTGGGCTTAATATGATACATCAAAAACACTTAACATACAAACCTTTGTCACATTTTTGACAGCGAGTCGTGTTTTCTGATGACAAGCTGCGCATCTTGTTTGTTTTTCTTGTGGTAGTACCCGGTGGTCCAGATGGTCATAACATAACTCCAAATTTTGGAATTGAGATGTGTCTCATCTGATACACACATTCTTATTTTTAACCAGCATAAAATTTGCAATGGCTCTTCTAAAAGTTAGTGGTCCATTGTTCCGCCTCATTTTTTATGAATTTGCCAGGAATTCTGCACTGCCTTATCAATGCAGTGAGTTATAAGAGGAAAATAACAATTTTTTCCTCTTATGGCAGTTTATATTTTGGTCAGAAAGTTCAACACCTCCCATGTTCCTATTATATAATTGGACCACATGTGGCTGCTCTACTGAGGGTAATTTAGAAAAAGTGGCAGGAGTATGTTTGCCCAGTGTACTTTATATAGGACAGATAAATTTTTTCCTAAACTGTGAAAAAGCTAGGCAATATTATTCATTGCCTCAAGCATATATTCCTACTGTCGGCTTTATACTCGTATGTAGCAATTTGCTCCATTATACGGAATCCACTTCAATGTAAATCATCAAAATACAGCTTACCTTGCAAGCATGATGCCATATTCAGCCATATCGTCAAAATGTAGTACTTGGACTTCAAAGTACACTAATAGTCCGTCAGAAAATGAAAACTAACCACCGTACTCTAAGCCGAATAACGTTATACTAAACGAAACGAATGAATGAGCAGATTTTTGCAGACCCATTTTGACAAGAATGGACAAGTTTGAGATGTACTACATATAGACCATTGGGCACATCTGGGTTAAAAGCGCGGGTCAATAGTAAATTCAAGCACATATAGCAAAGGAGTCAGATGATATCTTAGTTAAATCTTACGTATATTGATGCTAAAATGCAAGCTTGCCAGATTAAGGCCCGTATCGTCAGTCGACCCTACAATAATTGTAGGGCGCGTTTATGGCCTCCTTGATTGTCATACTCCTTTCTCTCCTTCAAAAATTTCTAGATTACACTTGTCCCGTGTCAGCGTCAGCGCTCTCCTATTGTGAAGATTTGTTTTCCTTTTAAATTGTAGGAAATTTCAGGCTGATGTAACTCAAAACCAAGCACAATTTGGTGCAAATAAATGTTTTGTGACACAATAGATGTTTGTGACATAACCTCAAAATAAAGCGCTGACACGGAGAAGTAGAAAACTATGACAATCAAGGAGGCCATAAAGGCGCCCTACAATTGTAGGGACGACTGACGATACGGGCCTAAAGGTTGCTCAGAGAGGTGTAGTTAATTTTTAAGGAACTGTTGACAGGCAGGCCTTCAATATCACTTCAAAAGCACTTTTGTTCGTTGTGTCGCTCATAACTCAACGAGTAATCATCAAAATCTTGTAGTATATAATATCAATCTTCTTCTTTTGAAAGGGTCTGATGAATGTATAACAAAATATAAAACAAATTGACAAGTTTTGACATCATCTCAAAATGAAATGTTCCATATTCAATCACATGTTTGAGTGGACCATACCAAGATAATTAGAGACATATAATACTAGTATAGCGATTTATGATTGATTGTCCAGTTATAAGCGATTACTGTACCAAAAAGCTCATCTTGAACAGCATATCAGTTCGCCATTATCAGAGATGGAGATCCAGCACTCGTGAGGAGTTTCGAAATAAGGCATGACGCGACCCTCCATTTCATTTGAAGAATGTTTCAAAATTTTCAACTGTCGCTTAATATGGTTTTCATACGTTAATTGCAGTCTCCGAATTT